TTATTACCTCTTCTTTATTGTAGATAAATATGTGAAGGCGTCTGTTGCGGTCTTGTCGCAGCCAGGTGATTTTCTTATCAATTTCAGTTTACTTCCTCGGGGGAACAGAAAGGGTTTGTGTGGAGTCGCCGACTCTAATAGTTCCAGGAGTGCTATGACTTGCCGTATCGATCTTGCTTGCAACGCTGCATGAATGGAAGTCTCTGTAACTTAACTCTGCGAATGTCGCTCCTTTTAATCACAATTTTGTGTTCAATAGAACACGGGGCATGCCATCGAGTCAGTCAAGTTCGGTTAGACATGCGCGTGTCCCTTAACTGTCGATCGAACTCTGCCTGTGGTGTTGTCAACCAGGCGTTCAGGCGATGTGATCATTGGCATTTTACAGGTGGGATGACGACCCTTAGATTATGTGTCTATTAATTAAAGCACTGGCTAGAGAGTAGAGGCTTCTCTCATCTAAATCTAATAATATATCCACCTACTTTTTTATGTTTAGCCACAGATGAGTTGAAGAGTGCGACTTTGCAGCGCAAACGCTGCGATACCGAGAAAGCGTTTCCAGCTGCTTCGAGGTTGTAGGCGGCAATCCATGAAATTGACAGCAAAACAGGCCACCAATGGAACGCATGGGCCCAAGGTGGGATGCCGATCGGCGCTCAGCTCTTAGTGGCTGTGTTGCTCTCCGCCTACGTGATCGCTGGCCCGCTCGCGGACGACTGTTAATTAGGTTGCAGCATTTCGACCTCAGCCCCGAATCAATTGAGATCATCGCTGCCTTGTCCTGTTGCAGTACAATTCCAGCTATAAAGTGAATCGCTAGCGTTCGGGTATCCTGTCTTGGTGGAAGCACACTGCACCTCAAGTCGAGTTCCTGGAGCACACGGTCCTGGGTGGCCTGCGCTTCGCTTCCCAAGCAAGACTGTTGCTCACCTTTGCGGATCAGACACCGCGGCGGCTAGAGGAGGCAACACGGCGACAACGACATTCGAATTGCTCCGGAGCGCTTCCTCGCAGCTGATCGGAGCCGATATCCTATAGACATCCCGGAGTGCGGCGTGGGAGATAACACCACACCTGAACGCGGAGAAATCAAGGCTGACTGCGGCTGGGGGAGAGACGACGCCATGTTTCGCACCCAGCAGAATGCCTTTGACGACATAGTCGGTGAGTCATTTGTCTTTGGCTACAGTGTTTGATCGTCCTGAAGGGAACATTGTGACCACCATTTCCTAGGGGAGGGTCCTTAACTGGATTACGCTGACCTGGTCTTATCTGAACAGCCAAAGCGACTGACGAGAATTTGACTTCTGAGAACTGGGAATACATCCTCGTACGACATCCTCCGCCTTATTTCTTTGCGATACCCTGGTCATCCTCGCGATCAATCTGGACTGGTGCTGACGTGTACATCTGCTGGGTGGTGTAGGATGTCTGCGATAAAGTCAATGCGGAAGATTCGGGGTATGTCATTCTCGTCCGACTGCGATGCCTGGCCAGCTCAAATTGTCAGAGCGATAGGGAACTGACATACCGTGCCGTCTTCACAGGTCCAAAGATGCGGTTGCTGCTTTGATTAAGAGGCTTGCGCACCGAAATGCGAACGTGCAGCTCTACACGTTAGAGGTCTGTATTGTCGATCGAGACATTATTGAATCGTCGATTCTGACTTCTTCTTCTTAGCTTGCGAATGCCCTGGCACAAAACTGTGGACCCAAAATCCATCGCGAGCTGGCATCGCGCAGCTTCACTGAGGCCCTGTTGCGCCTAGCAAACGACCGCGTAAGACAACCCTCGATTCTGGGGACAGTGCTGTGGCATTTTCTGACACTATCCTGGAATGCATAGAACACTCACCAGCAAGTCAAATCCAAAATTCTGGAGCGCATGGAGGAATGGACGGAGATGTTCTCCAGCAACCCGGATTTTGGTATCATGGAGCAGGCATACGTGAAATTAAAGACGCAAAGTTAGTACCGCAGACAGAATTCCTGGAAAGGATATGTTTTACTGATACTCCGCTAGATCCAAACCTACAGCCCCCGTCGAAGCCTACAAAGCGCGAGATCACCGAACTCGACCGGCAGAGAGAGGAAGAGGAGTTGCAAATGGCACTTGCGCTGTCCATCAAAGACAAATCTGGTGCGGGACCATCAGAGGAGTCTCAGGCTCCTGCACCTTCGACCTCAGCGTCAACAAGTCAACCGCAAACCACTACCTCCCAGGCTATTCCTTCAGGGACGGCAGCATCAACAGTCTCAAGAGTGAGGGCGCTATACGACTTCCAGCCTTCTGAACCGGGGGAGCTTCAGTTTAGAAAGGGGGACATCATCCTCGTTCTGGAATCGGTTTATAAAGATTGGTGGAAGGGATCATTGCGAGGCCAGACGGGGATTTTCCCATTGAACTATGTGGAAAAGCTGCCTGACCCCACGCCGGAAGACTTGCAGCGGGAAGCACAGATGGAGGCTGAAGTTTTCGGACAGATCAAGAACGTTGAGAAGCTGTTGACGCTTTTAAGCACGAACAGTTCTGAGCTTAATGTCCAGGATAATGAGGAAATCACAAACCTCTATCATTCTACCCTCGCTATCCGACCCAAGTTGATTGAACTGATTGGAAAATACTCTCAAAAGAAAGGTAGGCCTGACAGAATTCCATTCCAGAGTCATTGCTAATATTCCATATCAGATGAATTCACGCAGCTCAATGAGAAATTCATCAAAGCACGGAGAGATTATGAGGCCTTACTTGAGGCATCAATGTCACACTCAGTCCAACCACAGTATGGGAGGCCGGGACAGCAGGCATACCCCTATCCTCCAGTGGGAGGACCACAAGCATACGCTCAAGGCCCTGCGCAGCATGATCCTCAACGATACTACAGTCCGCGCCCTCAAGGTTTGTTTTTTTTTTGGTTCCTTGATTTCTTTTTTTTTTGGCGATGATGATTAACTTCAGCTTCAAAACCAGACTCTCAACCGTCTCAACCAGCTCAGCCTAACGGATCCAACTATTATGGAGCGGAACAGTCACTTCCCTATCGTACGGCCGCGCAGTCTCCTGATCCGCGAAACCAGACGCCAACTGGAAGTCGGCCATTTCAACAGCCACCCCCTTCAGACTCCTATCAACCTGTGCATCACCGTCCGCAGTCGACATACGAGCATCCACAAGAGCTGGGAACCTCGATCTATGATTCACCTGTCGAACAGCGTCATTCGTACCAGCCCGGTGCTGCGTTGCAGCAAGGCCCTCCGCACCACCCGCCGCAGCAAAACCAAGAACATTCGCCGTCAGTGTACTCTCCTGAGGATAACGCTCCTCAACCACGGCATCAGTACCCTTCTCAGCAGCAACAACCGCCATATCCTACCTCAACAGCCCCGGCACATCAACCGCCGCCCACGCAACAACCACCCCCGATTCCAACAAGCAGTCCGCAACCCACTCCATATCCGGCGTTGAATGCAGGTCAACAAGCTGGAGGGGGGTACCAGCCCTACCAGCCACCACAGACGAGCTCTATTAACTCAAATCCCGCTTCATATTATCGGTAGAATGTGGTAGAGGCGGGAGATTGAAGCATGGGAGAATTGAGGACAATCATGAATGCAACTACTCGACAATCTATCTAGCTTTTCCCGCTCTTTCCTTTGCCCTCGATCTCGATACATGGATATTTACGAAGACACAAATAATGGAAGTACAAATAACGAGGGAACGGCTCTACATGGATGTTTTGCTATCAGTATCATTGATTGGCTGCTCTTGATAACCTTGTCTCTACCCCGCCTGCTTATCCATCCAGTGTATGAACTTGCTCATGAGGAGGATCGGTACATTGATTATACGTGAACTATGTTTGTATGTCGAGAGTTTCATATGACGGGAGGCGTATTTCGATTTGTCTTTCTTGAATTGATTTCGCATATTGAACCTTAGGCTACGTTGTCCTACTAGTTACAAGCCTTTGATCCCTCGCTTCGCTCAGGTGGCTTGAAGGGGAACCAATTACATTACGGGCATCATGTGACTGTAAACTATGGCCTAGGAATATCAATAAAATTGCTACAGCCAGCAATAGAGAATAATAACTATAAGGTGACTACATTATATAATCAAATTTACTACAATTTGCAGTCTGTAGTGAATAACAGACTATAGAGCCTATATAAAAACCTTAGATCTATAGATTCTATAAAATTTTATAATCTAATGACCTCTTAAGCAGACTATATAAACTAATCTGCAAGTAATCTTTTTTAAATATAAACTATTTCTTAACCTCAAATATTAAAAATGCTACTTTTTACCCTGATTAATCTGACCGATAGGACCTATTTAATCCTAAACAGCCCTTATCTAGAAACCTAAGGCCTAGGCATAGCTATAGAAGCTACTAAGGCTACAGTTATACCTAGGGCAACTATTATAGAAGCTACTAAGGCTATAGTAGCTACTAAAAAAAATATAGCTACAGAAGGTAAAAAGCCTATAGCTAAGATATAGCCTAGCAGCAACCCCTAGATGCTGCTTTATAGCCAGCTACTTGTTACGCGCTGGGTCCAACCGTAGTCGTCGATACTTAGCAATGGTGGTTAGGGAAGGATCAAGGAGTCTTCCTGACTCTATGTCGTTCACGAGCACGCGACGGTCTGACTGACCCGGGTCTCTTCTCCTTGAGACAACGGCCTACCTGGCGAAGGGCTCTTCCTCGAACGACCTCTCACAAGTATAAAGGGG